TTTCTGACTTTTATGGTTTCTTGCTCTTGGGGCGTTGCGTGTATTTGCGCGGTTGTCGCTGCTAAAGAGTAACATTTGTAAAAGAACCAATGCAGATCGATTTTCCTTAGCTTTTTCTCCACCTGAAATGCTGAGACAAGCAAAACATGTTTCCATTACTTAACTAAGCAAACAATGGCATATAAATCATAGAGGCAGCTGGACCAAGGTGTTGTTTTCGTAAAGAGCCAGATTTCTCACGAAGGACAGTTTAATGGGCTGCTGCCAGTGAAACGTCTGCAGAGCTGGTAATTGCAGGAGGGCACACAAAGTGGTGTTCAAAGGTGTCATGTGGGATCTGAGAAATAACCCCACAGCCAAGACAACTGGAAAAAGGAGACTGAGAAGGTGTGGGCTTTAATAATTTGCTTCTTGAGGCTGATTGTTTAAAATAAAAAGCTAAGTTTTTATTTTTAGCTTGTTCGTGTTGGCTGCAAGATCAGAGAAGTGTTTTTAGCTGTAATTTTATTTTGATCATGTTTATGCTGTGGCTTTGTTTCTCCTTTGATCATGCTTAAACATGTTTCAGAAATGTTTGTTTGATGTATGCTGTTTTCTAAATCACTGTTCCACATTGTCTACTTGTTTTTTAAAAGCAATGAATCATTGCAAAATATTTGCCGTCAAATTATTTCTTAAATCCATTTTCTCAAAACAAGCTTTCTGCACTTTTAGCCAATGGGAGACTGTTTTCAAACAAGAAAGTGTTGAACTGCTGTAACAGCATTTTTTAGGGCTGCACAGATTAAAGACATTTTTAGGGTTGCGGAATACTTGATAATTCATGCATAGAATTTTGAAGTCATCCCATCTACCCACAATAGCTGCAGTACACTGACTTTTGCAACTGTTACTCGTGGTTTTGGATCGAAGTCCCACTTCCCATTCAGTAAACTTGCTTGAAGTTCACTCGAGCTTTTCTTTTGGGGGCTGTGTTGAATGTATGAAATAGGTCAACCCTGACTGAATTATTTTAAACTTCCCATGGGGACCCCTTGATACCGAACCTGTTTAATTTTGCAGAGTAAGGCAGGGCAGTCTCAATACTTGAACATACACATTCATGGATGGCATTCTTTCTTCTGCTGCCTGGGTGAGCAATTAGGAGAGTCAAGAAGAAGTCCCTAATTCCCTTATCTGTGGATATCTCCTTTCCAATGCTCAAAGAAGAGCAATAAAAACATGTGGTCCATAGAGAGGGCTGTGTTGCGTGACTGCTGGCCATCTGGCAGATTGATTCATCAGGACCCTAAACAGTCAGTAGTAAGCATGGTCTGAAGCCCTGGAGTTAAATGCAAGTGTGCATCAAGCCTCAGGCAAGTCAAACGGCTCCTCCACTAATGAAACAATAAAGAACACACTACAGATCAGTAGTTCACACCATTCACTTCTTAGTTTTATAACCTATGAAATCATGAACTACATTTCTCTCTCTCTCTCCACATATAGTATCATGATGTTGTTTTTGTGACCATAACATCCATTCTGAACAGAAATTAATGTATTTCTGTGTGCAACAGAACGCATGTAACCTGTTCTTCCTTTATTTGCTTCACTGCATAGACATAAATCTGTTAGATGGAAGAGGGGAAAAAAAACACCACCAGGTAGCAAGAGCAAGGGCCCTATTACATGAAGAACCACTCTTTTATTGACAAAAATGTATCGATTTAACTAGATAGAAAAACAATCCAAAGTATGTATAGTAAGAAGCATCAATGTTGTTCAAGAAAAACTATTCCATGATGTACAGTGGATACATTCTAATGTGAGGCTGTGACCACTTTATTTTCAGGCATGTAGTTAGGATTATTAATCACTAAGTGAAAATCTGAATTCGTCTCAGATGAGCACAAGTGAGTGTATACAAAGCATACTCACATGTGCTCACGCTATGGCAATAATTTTATCTGCCTTCCTCACAGTCCTCTCCTCTGCTATCCCTCTGACAGGATCATTTGAAATACATATTTTCAGTTTATTCAACTATTTTTCTATCGTTCTTGTGTCAGCCCTGCTTTAATACTAAAGTGTCTTACTGTTTCTAGGTTCATTTGCAAAACTGTGAGAGGGAAAGAATAATAATATGCTAACTGAGGGCAAGTTTATATAACCTGTGATACATCAGCAATATTTTTTACTCAAATGGGACTCCCCACAGTATCTTCATAGGCCAATGTAAAGTTAGATTTTTCATGCCTGATAGTATAGTGATTTATTTTAGAACTTGATATCTTGTGATCTATAAAGTGCATTGTGCTAGAAACAAATCATTCAACCATTTGGGAATGTATTTAGGTTTTGGTTGAATGTGATTTTTTACCATTGTTTTTTAAGACCTTAAGAATGTCAAAACAGTATATTCAGATGAGGTTCCCCAGATCCAGTAGCCCAGAACAGTGTCTACTAATGGGTATCCTCTTTCTCTGATGGATCCTTCACAGGCTACAATGCAGAAATTTTCAAGCTGTAGCCCTTGTTTCTTGAAATAGAAGTCCCGTGTAAAGCCCTAGAATATCATGTATAAAGTATAGATATTTACCATGCTACAATATAGTCTAGATGTTATTTATCTTGGGTCTCATGTCAGTGTAAATAAAAGGCTCTTAAATGCATTCTAGAAAGAAAAGCACATTTAATAGCTTGCATTACTGGAGTTTGGGATGGAAAGCTTAAGCTGCTTACAGATTTTTCAGGTTTTCAGATGTCTAAAAATATTTATTTTAACAGACAATAGGTAGTTTCACAGTTTCACTGAGATCTGTTCTGTGGCCTATGTTGTTCAACATCTTCAGAAATAACCTGGAAAAGAGGTTGAGAAGCAGGACGAGAAATTTTTTTTTTTTCACACGATATGAAGTTATCCAGCATAGTGAAACAAAGGAAGACTGTGAAGAATTACAAAAGGATCTTATGCAACTGGGTAGCTAAGCAATCAAATGACAAGTTAAATTATTCTTGATGAATGATGCAGTGGTAAACCATGGGGAAAACCATGAGGGAAACATGCCTACCTTCACATAGAAAAGAATGGTCTGTGGACAGAGCATCACCAGTGAAGGGTGAGGTTCTGGGGTTATGGCACATAAAGCTCCATGACAATTTCAGATTGCTACTTAGGAACTGTCAAATCTATATTAAATATTAGGAATTAATAGAAAAATCAAACAAACAAACAAATTCAACAAACACCACTGCTACAACCCTTGTGTAAGAGTTCATCCACATCTCGAGCACTTGGGGGTGTTTTCAATACCGTATTCGAGAGGAACCAAATAAAGATATTAAGATCAGTGTTCAAAACACAAAAGTAGAAGCAAATTTTAGTTCATTACATTGTGTAGGTGAGGAACAAATTCCAGAAGGACACTCTGAATGCTGTAAATTCGTGTGGGTTCAAGAAGCTACACAGATAACCGGTGAAAACGTTATTGAGAGTTACTAAGCATGTAGAAAGCAACAAACTCAGGGAAACAGCTACACTGAAAATAATTGAAAGAAAGGACTTTATTCTTGGATAGTGTTAGTTGTACTCACCATATTCGTTCTTTGTCTTGAATAATTACTTCTGGATAATGTTGGAGTTTGTATATTGATCTTAGCAAACTTTGATGCAAAGCAGTATGCTCATCCTTCTGTACACATATATACACATACACATATATATGCATACATAGAGAGTACATGAGAATATATATATATACACATGCAAAATTATGCAGTATGTACTCATATATTAGAAACATCTAAACTTATATGTGCATATATCTAAATATATCAAAATATGTTGCCTAAAAATACTGCCATCCTTAATAAGGCAGTGGGTTCCACAGGGTGGCCAGTGCAAACTGGCAAAACAAAGCAAAGTTCATTATTTCCATGCCTATATAGCAATAAACATACACTGAAAAGATGTTAATAAATGACACTAAAATAACTTATAATTTCACATAGGAACAGGACTGAGTAGTTAAATATGGTTCACAGTTAATTATCCCAGCAGGATGTAGAATGGTTATAAAACAGATTGGTAAATCTGTTGGATATGCCTTCCCTTTCCAAATATAGTGAAAGATACCAGCTGAAGTATCTCTGTAAAATACAGCGATGAGCCAGATTCACCACTGGTATGAATTTACTGATATGAATTCTATAAAATTCTCTCTCCCAAAACTTGTTTACAACATTTTTTATATAACCCATCAGTATGTCCACATTTTATGTATTTTCATTTGTTCCTGTACCTTTTTTTACCACCAAATAATGTTGACACTCGAATTGTCAAGAATTAAGGTATATTTATAAAAAACCCTCAAGCTTTACAAAAATGACAAGACAGAGTATTTCAACAATCTGAATAAAAATTCAAAAATTCATTTCTCTTCTGAAGAGAAAAATTTTGGGATTTGTGGTATCATGTGGAAGTACACAGTGTCAATGAAAATTTGTTTTTAAACTTAGCCTTTTGAGAGTAATGAATAAATGAATAAAACCTTTTTAGATGTGAGATAATTTACATATTCTTTTTTATTATGTAAATGATGAATATTACATTTGTCTCAATAATTCTTTCATTTTACTTTACAAAAAGATTATTAACCTACGTCTAAACATACAAAGAAACAAGAAAAATGTCAGTAATAAATACATGGCATTATGAAGCCATGCTGTAATGGTATACAACCATTTGTAAAGAAATTTCATTAAAGTTTATTTACTCTAATAATAATATTAGGATCTGTTTATTAGATATCTGTAGTGAGTACCTCTCTGTATTAAAGACAAGAGGAATGTAAATACCCATCACATGTTAACAGGTCATGATGCACCTAGCATAGAAATATCTGCCATGTGATGCAATGATTGATTGCTGGGAAGATAAGTGACAGTTCATTGATGTAAGGAAGACAAGTGATTCAATTCATGGAATAGTAACATGCACAACACCATTGTCTTCTCAGATCCCAGGTTTATCAGTGCTCACCTGATACCAGAGAGCGACAATCCTGAAGACGACAAAATCTATTTCTTCTTCCGTGAAAACGCGATTGATGGAGAGCACACTGGGAAAGCCACTCACGCCAGAATAGGGCAGATCTGCAAGGTAAGATGGTGACTTCTTCGTGTGAGAGTGAATGCACTTGCAGCAGGCTTTGCAAGCAGTTTTAGAAACTGCATTTTCCAGCCTGTGAACTGTACAGTATTAACGCTGGCATTGCACTAAAGCAGGGGTCGTTCTAAGTGAAATATAGTTAGGGAATAACACATCAAAATGAATACTATTCAATTCTTCTTTTTTGGGGGGAAACATCACAAACTACAGTGTTTTGTTTAAAAAGTCATAGGCATCTTCTGAGGCTTAGAATGTGTCTGCAAAAGAGAATCTTTTACAGGAAATGTGATACTTCCAGGTGGGCCAAAAACATTTGAAGAATTTGCTTTTTATATGTTAATACCTTTCCATTCCCACATTAGTGAAAATCTTTAAAACAGTTGTTTTAGGTTAGTTCTAGAAACGGGCAACCATTCCAAAGACCCTTAATGACTGCAGAATGAATCATTTGTCCACAGTGATAAACATCCAAATTGTTTTCTGACAGATTTTTAAAAATATTTCTACAAATGAAATTATATTAAAAAATTGTAGCTTTGGTAACTGTGATGTTTACAGTACAAACTCATGTAAACTCATAAGCACAATTTCAGTTTAGGTCCTCAGATTCAGAACTAGCTTCTTTAAAACCAATTACCCCTTAAGTATGAAGTCCTTGGGGCCCTTCATTCCTACATTTTGCAGCTGTACAACTGATCCCACTGTTCTGGCATTTTTATCTACTTTGTTGCATTGCATCTTGCATTTCTACTTTGTTGCTACCCATTTAAGCATAATAAACCCTCTCAGCTTTTCCAGGACAGGGCAGACAGGGAGCTCTGAAGCAAAATATTCTGGCTGTTTTTCTTTTTTCCAGTGTTATGTGTATATATATTACAATATATAAAGAGTTTTCAGGGTTTTTTGGTTTTTAAATTATAGTGCTACTATGAAATATGTCACTACACAATGTTAAATATAAGTTTTTCATAGTTTGGGTCTTTGGAGCGTTATAATGCTTTTGTATGCAAAGGCTGAATTCTTTACTCTTGTTTTCTCTAAATAGCATCCTATTTTACTGTATTTTTTCTGTACTCTGTTGATGCTTCAGACAAAGACTGTTAGTATATATTAATGCCAAATACCTTTGTTATTAGAATGACTTTGGTGGACACAGGAGCCTTGTTAACAAATGGACAACCTTCCTCAAAGCACGTCTGATTTGTTCTGTGCCAGGACCCAATGGCATTGACACACACTTCGATGAACTACGTAAGTAGCAGAAATGGCTTTGAATATAGAAATGTTTTCAGGTATTATCTGTATGCATTTAACCTAATTTTCTTTTCTCTCTCTTGTTATTTTTACAGAGGATGTGTTCCTAATGAACTCAAAAGACCCTAAAAATCCAATAGTCTATGGGGTGTTTACAACTTCCAGGTATAGAGCGTATCAGTTTACTTGTGTGGAAACGTGTGTGGCTGCTTGTTGTAAAGAGGTCTCTTTGTTAGAAATGTTTTTAAGAAACACAAAATTTTCTTAACCTTTGAACTGAGAAGTCAGTGGCAGTAAGAAGTAATGAATTAGGTCTCTTTCTTATGAGCAATGTACATCATCACTCCGAAGCTGGCAAGCACAAAGACTATCAGTTTCTCAGGCTGTTCTTGCCATTGAATTGGCTTTTTATAGTACTGGTCAGCATGTGTAGCCCTTTCCACACAGATTTGGAGAAGGAACACAAGCAAAAATAAACTTGTTTGGGGGCAGTGAAAAATAGAAAATCTGTGGTGTGAGAAATTGGCTAGTCAAGGATATATTAGTAAAAAATGTTGCTGAAATCTGGAAATTTTAACGATATTTCAAAAGTTGTGGTTTTGAGTCACATATATCTGTGACTTGAATGTTTTTTGTTTCACTGTGCTTTCACCAAGAACAAAATATACTTGTAGCCTGAGGAAGGTTTGCAGTACTGATTGTACTGCCACATTTATCTGTGAAGGGAACAAGTTTTAACTTCTAAACAGAAAGAATGTTTCAAGTGATACCAAGAATAGAAGTGGGAGATTTACAAGTCCTTACTGTCTTCTGTAAGAAGTCTCAAGGTAAGAAACAGCACTGAAGTTTGCACATGTGCTGCCCAAGTGGTAGAAGAGACTGCTAAAAAAAACCAGAAAAATGTGAAGTGTAGGAAAGAATTGAATAGTTCTCTAGGGACAGCCCTACTGAAGTTTACTCAAATTTAGGCTTTGGCCTTCTGGGGACAGTATGTTTTAAGTAGTGGAATAGCAGCCATCTGCTTAGGAAAATGTCTGGGAGATCGTATCAGTTATGCTGAACTTTCACAGGAGGTGAGTGAGGATTGCTCTGAGAGCATGTCAGAGTTTTGATAATCAACACATGCAGTAAATTAGAAAGCACCAAGCTGCTATTCCCACAGCTCTACCACTTGATTAAACTGACTGATAATTTAAAGAACCTGATTTGATTTCTTCTCCCCTCATTTTTAGTAATATCTTCAAGGGATCAGCAGTGTGTATGTACAGCATGACTGATGTGAGAAGGGTATTTCTTGGTCCCTATGCCCACCGAGATGGGCCAAACTACCAGTGGGTTCCCTTCCAAGGGCGAGTGCCATATCCACGGCCAGGAACTGTAAGTACCCTCAGAAGTGCAGTAATCAAAGCTGGGAAAACTATGGAAAATATTTTCACACGTTGCTTGAGCTGAGATCCAGGAAAGAAACTGAAGCAGATAACAAAATGGATAGGCTGGCAGAAGGGAAAACTAACAGTATCTCCAGGTCCAAAATGTACTGATTTTCTTGTAGCATATGAAACTGCAATAACAACGTCACTTGGATTTTAATTTTGGCATTTGTATTAACAACTTCAGAAGAAGTTTGAGCAATGGCTGTAGAATTTGACTGAAAGTCAGATATTTTAATCAAAATGCTGTGTTATCCTTTCCTGGGAATTGGTTTTTGTTCCAAATATCGGCTGAGACATTCTTAGTGAGAATGAACAGAAAACAGAGCATCTGCCTGCCTGTTAAGAAATTTTCAATCGGCATTAAATCTAGTACAGTGAAACAGATATTTCTGCAGTGGGTTACAGAGTGACTAGAATAGCTTCTAACTTCCACTGGCATTTTTAAAAATGTTTGCTTCTACCTGATTCTGTTTTTAATTTATGAATGACTAAAATATCAGTCTATGTAAGACATCTGTATTTACAACTTCCAACTAATATCATCACATTCTAGAAATATTTAACTGCCTTTGAATTTTTCAGTAGTCTAAGAATTTAGGACATTTATGAAATGAACATTAATTGTATGCATGAGGTCTCTCCTTAGTTTGTATTAATCAGCTTGGCCCATTTATGTTCTGAACTGTCATTGCAGAAGATTAAATATATATGTACACATGTATACATATAAATGTATATGTGTAAATAATATATATGTCTATAGTACTCTTTTAAAAGCTTTTTTAAGTATAAGGCACAAAAGAAAGCAGGAATAACTTTGCTTCTTTAATTAATCATATTTTCTATTTTTATCTTGCATGTTTGATATTGTCCTTTCAAACGTGATCTTTCAACTGATATATATGCTCAGCCTAATGAAAATTACTTCCTAAGTAAAAGAAAACAGTGGCTCTCTGACAACCAGATTCCACAGCACTCCTCACTTATTCACTGCAACTGCTAAAGGAATTTCTAATTTTTTCCAGAGTTTAAACACGAGCTCTGCAGCATAGAAGAGTTTTCATTTCTCATTTGATGGTTCCCTTTTTTTTTTTTTTTTTAATAACTACAGTTAATTCTGATATATCAGAAGACTAGTTTTCTTGAAGCTGTATTGCTTTACATCACTGGGGAAAATGTGAATGAGTAGATATTTTTGCTGTTTCTTGTATAACTCTTGTCACTTACTTTTCAGTCTGACAGACTTAGTGTTCATTATCCTGTTGATTTAGATTCCTCTTTGATTCCAGTATCCATTAACCTTTCTAAACAAAAACAGATAATAGGCATTATTTAGAACTGTGGAAAAAGAAGAGGGTTATGTATTTCTGTCACATAAATAGACTGAGATAAGGAACTGACTGCTGCACAGAGGGTCTGTTACATCCGTTCCTCTGCAGAGATCAGATGAAACTCTATTGAGATTCTGAATGCACAGCTGAAATATTTGCCCATGAGACTGGCAACACAGTTCAGCCCACCTCAGGTTATTCTAAGACTTCTCTTAGGGTCTTGAGCAGAAATCCGTATGGCAAAAGAATAACTTGATGAAATTCCCCAGAACAAGCAGAAAAACAGGGACTCAAATCCAGCCCCTAAGTGGCAAAGTGACCTAAGCCACCAAAGCATTTGTGAAAGTAAGGAAATGCAGTTAGGTTGCAAATACTTTTATTTATGTCTGTGCTCTCAGAATGAATCTTACCCTTAAAATTTCATTATAAAATGCTTTTAATAAGATTCGCAAAGTTCAAAGATGTTCAGATTCCACTGTAAACTGTTTTCTTGCTTAAAGGCAAATGTGATCCCAAACTTTACAAGTCTACATAGCCCTGCAGTCGCATCATGTAGTGAAGGAGGCCATGCCACTGTAAATGATGTTAGAGTGGCTGAGGCCATCAGTTTCCCCTAGCCCAATGCACGTGACTAATCCTGAGTTCTGCTGCTTTGAAAAGAGATGAGTCCCCTCACAGTTGCTAAAATTATTCTATTATATTAATAGAGTAAAAGTGGATTTTAAAATGAGATACATTTCTGGCCAAAAAGAAGCTTTTTGTTTTTAAAGTGATAAAGTTGGATGTGTTTTCAGTGGCTTTGAAGACCTGTTGAGAATAAAGAAGAAACATTTTTGAAGTTCCTTTAGATCTTAGACCTGGGGATTCCTTTTCCAAGAAATGCAAAAAGAGAAGGGGGGAAAAAACCCCTTAACTTCTTACAGTAATTCATTTCCAGATTCCAGTGTAGTTAAACAGGGCTGAATTATCTCAGGAATTTAATAGGTGAGGTGCCAGTAAACTTCTTGAGCATCTGGTGACTTACCCAGTATGAGGAAACAAAAAGGAAAATAAACAGCTCTTTTGAAAAGTAAGAAAACTTTGTAAACAATTCTACATCAGCTTCACATTTAACAAAGGAGTTGCCAGAATTTTTCGTGTAGAACTATAGATGTATAGATCTATTCGTGTAGATCTATAGAACTAGAGGGTTTTAACTTTTTTCTTTTTTTTTTTTTTTTTCACTTTTTAACAGTATTTGGCAGAGGAGGGAGGATTTTTGTGTATATCTCAACTGAGGTACCTCATTCTGAATTCTTAACTGACTTTCTTTGAATTCAGCTACAGAACTCAAGTTTTCTTGCTACCTGATTTGTTGTGTTCTGTCGGATTCGCTAATAGGCTAGTTAAGGGATAGCCTAATTCCCTCCTCCTGATTGATCAAATCCCCTGATATTGCTTACTGGGGACCAAAAACTGGAATTGAATGTAAAATGCAGCAGTTCTTTGACTCTACTTGAGCCCAAGATCAAACTCATTTATCCAAACCTTTTCAGGATATTTGTATTCAGACCTGTGTTTTGGCAGATGAAAACCTATTTCTTTGGTATCAGTGGGATTGATATGGTATATAAACATAAGTTTTGATTAGGCACCTTGGCAATTAACTTGATCTAGACCCACTAATACCAAAAATGATCCTGTCATTAGCACCAAGAATAATGTCTTTGTTGTGTCTCCTGGCTTGGTGTCCTTCACATAAAACATGACAGGGCTTTCCTCCCCAGGACAGCTTTTCTGTTCTGTCCTGTCCTATCCTATCCTATCCTATCCTATCCTATCCTATCCTATCCTATCCTAATCCTATCCTATCCTATCCTATCCTATCCTATCCTATCCTATCCTATCCTATCCTGTTTCTGAGTTGACATGCTTCTTCAAGGAATTTGAACTATGGATGGGCTGCATCTCACCTAATGATGGTGCCCATTTTACTCATTGAAAAGGGAGGGATTTATAGCAATGGCAGTTGGATTTCAGCTCAGTTTTTGAAAGTAGGATGGGATGAGTAAGAGCCACAGCCTAGTCTAGGTAATGCACTTTACATGTAAAGACACAAGATTACAGTAATTTAGAAAAGTAAGGGATATAAGAAATAATCTGGCACTCAGAATTTAGTTTTAAACACACAGAATTATGACACTAATTCTAATTTTATGATTTTTCTGCACAAAATATAGCTTGGTCCATAGAATCATAGCATATCCTGAGTTGGAAGGAAACACAAGGATTATTGAATCCAACTCCTGGCTCTGCAGACAACAGCCCAAAAAATCACATCATTTGCCTGAGAGCGTTGTCTAAATGCTTCCTGAACTCTGGCAGGTTTCGTGCCGTGACCTCTTTTCTGGGGCGTCTGTTCCATATTGCTGCAAGTAAAATCATTTACTGGAAAATGAGACAGAAAGTAAATATTTAAGCTGTTGAAACACAGCTGAAATTCATTTGCTTATAATTAAAATGAATATTCATTTAGTATTTTTTCAGTGTTTGCCCAGATGCAATTAACAATACTTAGTTCTTCTGTAGTGAATTTTGTACTTAGAGCACATTACATATGTTATCTAATTATTTATTATCTAATTATTATGTACTTAATCTGAATAATTACTATTGAACTGTAGTTAAAATATTAAATGAGACGTAAAGCAAACATAAAATTGAAGTGTAGAATTTGAAACAGTTTTTGAGACAGACAGTGGTTTAGCCAATAAAAATGAAAAGTCTATCTGATTTTTTTTTGGTACAAAAGAGCAAGTACATATAATAAAACTAAAAAGGTTAAAAAATCTTGACACAATAAAGTAGGTAACTAACTTGCTTTCTGCTTTGTCTGCTCCACATGCATTAGTCAAGGATTCTCCCACCTTCCATTCCTCCCTTCCATACCGTGTAATGAAACAGAATGAAGGAATTTGCTTACTAACAAATATGCCAGTGAGGGACAATTTACACATTATATGTCCATGCTGGAAGAGTCCCTTGCTGAGTATAGCAACTACTCCTTTTGCCAACATTGATTTTTAAATTTCATTTCTGATGAATTATTAATAATGTGGATCAAGGTGATAGCAAAGACAATTGATTTCTTCTGCTGAGCATCCTGCAAGGTCTGGATTCCTGGTTAATAAGATGTTGTCCTCTAAGTTTTTAATTTAATTGGTAGATGTTTTATACCTGGATATAAAGGGCAAATTATCTCGAGCATTTTAACACCAGTTATTTATATTGGAGGTTCAAATACTGGAAAAATAATTATTGTCAGGTGGGTTTCAGAGTTTTATATGTCTTAAATAGTTATCTGAACAGATCAGCATTGTGGTCACCAAGTTCTCTGATGAGTATCTTTGGCTTGGTGTCAGTGTGGCTCATTTTCTTTACCCATTCAACAGTACAAATAAACTACTAATGCTTATGTTAATGTAACCTCTAATTATTTGTAAAATAATTACCAATTCTGCAGAAGAGATGAAGGCAGATGATGATGATCAACCACAGTTCTTGAGTGTCCTGATGGGGATATGTGGTAGCTGAAAGTGGAGGAATACTTTTGTGGCTACCAACACCATGGTCTTACCTCCCTTTCCCTTTTCAGCCTCTATTTTTTGCTTTCGTTGGGAGAACATGAGCTAAATGTGAAAAGCAGAATCCTCTGTTTTTCACTGTTCACAGGTAAAACTGTCTGGCCTACCCAGGACTATATATGGGTGCAAAGTGACTCTCTATTGTGTGGCTTGATGGGGACCAGATTAATCCCAAGGGAAGAGCAACTTTTCAGTCCCTGTTCAGGACACAGCAGTGAGGAGCTATTTTAGTTCTTTAATAAGACTTGTCTCACTTAACTGTTCACATGGGTGGTATCATCAGCACCACTCACAGAAGGCTTTCTTTAGAAGCAGTAGGGAGAAAAAGAGATACATTTATGATGTGACTCATTAGATTTGATTTAGTGTAACAGGATCTGTGTATCTGGACTACATGGATGACACAGGCTTGTTGAGACAAGCAGGAGTTTGAAAAACCCAGTAGAACGGGGAATTGTCCCAGGAATTAAGGATTTGGTTCCTCAGAGAGTAATTTATACTTCCAGTCAACTTCTGAAGATAACACTTTTAAACAAAGATGATGGCATAATTGATTAAATTTGTGCTATATACATAACCAAATACTGAAATTGCTTTCCTCGTACTGAATAATTTTGGATATTTCAGGATTTCTTCCTTCTGCCAAATAAAAACTAATACTAATCACAATAGACCAAAAATCCTTTTGTTCTGCATAGTAGTAAGACAAATGGTGTATGAGGATCATTTGTATTCTGTCATCTGTATTGGTTTAAATCTAAAATAAATCAAAAATTAGAGACTGTCAGTAACAAAATTAAGTTTTGCTATCAGTCAAAAAACACTTAAATTCCTTGTCATATTTGATTACAGTTTGCAGCAGTTAGGGTGATTGTAACAAAATGTATTTCTGATATGTTTCTAGCGATAAATAATCAAATGTAAAACATCTCCTTTTGTTTTTTATTTCCAGTGTCCCAGCAAAACATTTGGAGGTTTTGATTCCACTAAGGACCTTCCTGATGAAGTTATAACATTTGCCAGAAGTCATCCAGCCATGTACAACCCAGTATTCCCCATTAACAACCGTCCAATCATGATTAAAACAGACGTGGATTATCAGTTCACACAAATCGTGGTAGATCGAGTAGATGCAGAAGACGGCCAATATGATGTGATGTTCATTGGCACAGGTAAGAAGTCCTGAATCTACAACGTTTCCAGGCACGGTGGAAACGTAGAGCAGATAAAATTTCATGCTCTGAAAGACAGAACACTGGCAGAACAGTGTATACCTGTGAAAATTTGGGGCAGGACTCAAAACTGTGCGTGCAGGGAGGTCTTTCTTACATACGTTGACTGTTACGGTTTCAGGCCATGGCCTGCATAGCTAAACTCTTTAGGAGCTTTGCCAACTGGATTAAGATGAAACCACCCTCTTTTCAACTACTGTTATTAGGGATTTTTATTAGAAATATCTTGCCTTATGAATTATAATTTAGTATTAAAATGAGGGTTTGAGGTACATGTTTTGAAGTGCAGCGTAAGAAGTATTAATGCAAGTGAGGCAAGTATCCAGGTATGGGAAATGTCTTGTGTGCCTTTCAAGTATTTCAAGTATTGCCTTAAAATGCTCAGCTTTTTAGCCAAAAGGATGCATCATTTTACTTAAGATGAAGATATCTGGCACATGCAAAGTGTTTTCAGAAGAGCCGGTATTCAAATAGAAACATGATGTCCTTTCCAAAGCATTCTCAGAATCATACAGTTTGGGCATCCCATAAAAGTGGAAATATGCACCCAGAAAAGATATTTTCTCCAAAAAAGTAATAATGAGAATTAAATGTGTCTAGAAATTAGCTGGTATTAATTTTCCTATGTTCAATATCTTCAGAACTGTGCTGAGTAGTAGTTGGTGGATCTGTTTGTTCACCTCTGAAGATTTTCCATTGGTTATCTGATGTTTCAGTTATGTTGAATAAAAGTATTTTCAACTTCTACTGAACATAATTGCTAGCAATTAGACATTGGCATCATGAAGCCAAAACAAACCAAACCAAAACTCTACTTTTTTTTTTTTTTCAGCTTTAGACCAAAAAAATATCTGTCTGACTGTCTCTCTTATAACAGTCCAGTTTTTTACGTGCTTTAAATACAGTTTTGGTACTCTAGACCTGGCATAAGATTTCCAAAGCAATAAATATCAAGGTCTCTTTCATGTTGATGCCTGAAATACATTATGAGTAAACTGAGAGCTGATGAAGTTTTGTGTACCAAACACAGTGCAAGCATAACAGTTCAGACCACTTACTGCAGAAAATGCAGCTCTGCAGAAAGGGTTCTGGCACTTTAAAGCTGTGAACTGCGTTATTAGATACCAGTGCTACAGTATGCTCTTGCACAAAACATTGTAAAGTATTTCCATATGATTTTACACAACATATATATTTTCCATCACTCATTAGAGACTTCAGTGCCATCTAAAGTTGGCAGTATTTGGTGCCTTTCAACAAGCCTTCTATAACCTGTCAGCCCCCCCCCAAAAAAAAAAAAAATCAGTGACAGTACTCCCCTTGGCTGTGCTGTGAGGGAAGAAGCCCTTCAGCATCTAGAGTATGATGCTGAGCAAACATAAGGAGCTGATTTAAGTCTATATCTTGAGCAAAAGAGGTGCCATTTATCTCACCAAAGCTTGGCATTCAGACTAAGAAAGATGCACTGGTTTCTGCTAGGAAAAGCAGTAAGTTATTCCAGAGAGAGATTCATTGTACTTTCTTCAAGACCTCTGTTAGAGTAAGAGGAATAGTAACACAGAAGTTCCAATCTGTTTTCAGTCAGCGCAGGAAGATTTGCATAAAGCTGAGCTACAACTTTTAGATAGTTACCATTATATACACTAGTTCTTTAGTTATCATTGTAGTGTTTCTTATGTAAATCATTCAGGCAAGATCTCCCTCTAAAAGAACTTGATAATTTTTACCGTGAGATGGGATTTTAGGCATCCAACTAATTCCCCAAACCACTAATATTCAGGTGTGTGGCAAGTGCTTGGGATTCCATCCAATGTTGGCAATAGCTGTGCCCAAGAACTGTAAGAAAAGTACTGAAACACTATTACTTGTATTTACCAAAAGATATTTCAGCTGCAAAATCCCACCTTTGTAAGTGTAGAGTGTTATTATGTCTTGAAATACTACTTTTGTCCATAGAAACTGTCCTTTTTCCAGCAGGACTTTATACCCTTGTGGGACAAGAACAGGCATTACAGCACCCCTGCTTGGAGCTGGAGTACAAAAGATGAGCTCCTCTAAGCTCACTTCTAAGCTCATCCGTATTGTGGCTTTCAGAATGAGGAAAGGGCATCTTCGATGTGGGGGAAAAATTAAAAGAGGCAGAACCCAGGCCCTGCCTGCCTTCTCACTGAGCCAGCTGGTCAAAGTCAAATGAATCAGAAACAGATACATAATCAGTGTGTATTACATCTTCCCAAGCAAAGAACTAAACCAGGGAGCAGATTAAGGACTCTAGTCCATTTTCCCACTTGATGATCTAAAGCCAGAATTATGCTCTCTGGGGTATGACTGGGTTTTTCTGTGCAGGTCTGTCACATCAGATTAGATATATTTCTTTGTATTTTCCCATTACTGTTACAGCAATCTACATTATTCCCATGTGATGCTAAACTGCAATATATTGAAGAAATACTTTTTTTTTCCTTTTCATTGAATAACTGATGATAATTGACCACAACATAATTAATAGCCACCCAGTGTGGTCACATTTTCCTTTCCTGTGGGTGAAATCTTTAGCTGAGCAGTTTCTTTCCCACTGTGATTGTACCAGCGTGTTTCACAATGAAAATAAAATCCTATCGGCAAACTTGAAAAGTATATCAGAAAAAACCAGGATTTAAGATATGCACTTAATGCATATCCTGAATGTCTAATGTTTGGGATCCTTTGACACAGTCAAAGTACCTCTGTCAGTAAAGCAAATTAATAACAGTAATTTTATCTTACTATTGATCCTAAAGGAGACGCCTCATTCTGTTTGTGTGAAATTGCTTGAAATACTACTCTGTAAAACTTGATCTAGAACTCAGATAAAGCCCCACTTTGATACCTGTGGCCTGACCAGAGTCACCGCAGTGATTAACACGGTGTATCTTTGACCTCAGAGGCTTTCTTGAGATCAAGCAACTGTAATTGTTGCAGGATCCACTTAAAAGTCAGACCTTTTGTGGAAACAACATTATGAGAAGCTTGTGTCTGCTCAGGGCCCATTCAGGCTGTTTCCTGAAAAATCTCTCTTTATTTCTAGAAAAAAACATTTAATGGATTTTGACTGAGGACAGTCCTAGTCCGACACAGAATACTGTTGTGACACTTTGCTACACTGTTAAATTTATTAGATCAGAGTTCTCTGTTTTTTACCCATAAAATGTATTTTCCTCAAAACCACAGTCATCAAAATATCAGGACAATTAAGGAAATGAACTCATCCATTAAATTACCTATATAACTAGTGCTAAATAATCTGTTTTTCTGAATTACTCTGTTGTAGAAATGTGGATTTTTTTCTCTTCTTTTCTTAAAGTTTATGTTGCATTTGTTCTGTGCCACTCTCAATATTTCTTGAATTAAATATATTCAATTAGCAGGAGTAACCATAATGAAAACCACTTCCAAACCCACTTATCTAGTATATTTTACTAGCTTAGTTTTCACATATAACTACCTAAATAAAAACAAAGCTGTGCTTTGCTTTGCTGTTGCTTTAAGAAATAACTGGGTTTTTTCTTTTTAAAAAAGAATATATGAATTCATGACTAATAAAACATTATGTACATATTTGAGGGGGACAGGGAAATTACTTCTTTCTAAACTTCCAAAAATGTGTATTTTGAAACCAACATCTGCTTAAAGGAAACATATGGAAAAATGAAAAATCTCAGTGCTATGGGAAATTCTAGGTTTTCTAGGATATTTTAATACAAATTCATTTAAAGAGGTTAAATACCAGAATTTTCTCATTAAATCATTAGCTCTTAAGTTAGTTGCTTTATAAAAACACTTTCAACATGTGTAATCTCTTTGTTTCAATTTTATGCATATTTTAAATATAGAAGTGGTATTTTGTCATCTTTTTAATCAGAAGTTTCAACTAACACACACAATTGCATATAATTATAAAATGTATATATACTTGATTTTGTGTAATTGATGGTTAAATCTTTAAGAATGTTGACCCTTACAGTTCTTAGAGAATTTTATCCAGTTAAAATGCTTTATATTTTCTTAAACTATAAGTGCTGTAGGAAGTGCAACGTGAAAAGTCCTTGGGACAGAGGAGGTCTTCAGTCTCAACCATGTTCACAAAACCAAAGGCTGTAGCTCTGGAATTTCGAGCGCTGGCCTTGTTTATGTTAAAGCCAATTGCAAAACTCAAAAAATGTAAATGGACATGTTATTAAAATTCTGGGACACACTTATTTCCAAACCAAAGATTGGAGTTGTATGCTTTTTACTCCTCAGTGAAGACCAGAACCTAACAGGCAGAGAAATGTCTTAAGGGGCTGATACATCTTAGGTACTTTGTTTGTCACAGGGAAGATCCCATGTACTTGAGAGATCAAACAGCTTCATCTGTCTAACATTTGTCCAGATGGTTTTATGTCCACACTGGAATATCTTTACATGCATTTTAGGAAAGACAAATATCATATTCAAAATGGACAATAAAACATACCTGGGTAAACGTAATGCCTTTCCTTCCTCAATTATGCATCTGTCATTTTATACTGTCACTTAAATAGTATTTCAGTACTGTTTATTCTTTAATAACTATAGTAGTATATATCTTCTTTGTTGCATTTTGATAACTGAATGACTTCAGTAAAATTCCCTTCTGAAATTCAGTGCTGAGGTTATTTTAAATAGCAGTTGTTATTTTGAATTAGTGCTGAGAAATATGTAGCTTCACAGTCTCTATATGTGAAATAATAATACACTTCAAGAAACACTGGCTGCTACAAAATTTAAGTATTCATCTTAAGCACCTGAAAACTCCTTTTTTTTTTCCTTTTTTTCTTTTCAAGATATTGGAACAGTTCTTAAAGTGGTTTCAATTCCTAAGGAGACTTGGCATGAACTAGAGGAAGTCTTGCTGGAAGAAATGACAGTCTTTCGGGTAAGTGAGGCTAAATTTCAAGTGTCAGGTTGTTCTCTGTGGACAGCTGCAAACTCAACTTCTTGCAGCCTAGCCAAGGAACAGCCTGGCATACCCCTCTAATTAGCTTGTTATTTAGAGACCCAGACACTAGTCAAAATAAACCTTGAAACTTTCAGTGCTAGCTGGAGGTTAATGATAAAAGGAATGGCATTCTGGACTCGTTTGGTGGTTTAAAAAGTAAATTATTATTTCTGAATCTTAGAGCTATTGCATGCGGAGTTAAATATCTACCTGTGTAAGTCTAGGAATAATGCCTGACTGTTGTCTCCCAGAGTTAAGCAATATATGAATTTATAGTTGCATCACCTCTCAACACTATTCAGACTATTAGCCTATTGTAACTAGGAAGATACTTGAGGTAAACCAGTGATCTGCCCAGATTTCATACACCTAATAATCTGAGGAACAAAGGAAGTGTTTATATTTTCAAAGGTGACTTTATGGACTCAATTTCATGTTTTGACACAAGGTACCGGGAACACCCCCTAAACTTCAGCACTTTTTAGAGAACATCAATCCCTTCCATTTTTCCTTTTGAGCCACCGAAAAAATACGGCATCCCACAGGCACTCCTTCCTGCAAGGCGAGGCTGAGCAAACCTTTCAAACAGTTTCCAGACAGAACGCAGGAATGTCTCGTGTTTTGTACACAACAACGAATCATTTACATTCCCCCGGTTATTCTTTTTGTCAGTGCAGTTTTATGGCACCATTTCACTGGCTCCAGGCTTTTGGGGGGTTGATACCTAGCTGGGAGCACGAGGTTAATCTGTCAGCATGAAGATGATGCTTCCATTCTCGGAGGGCCTCATGTCGTGTGGTCTCGCGCCAGATGTGCTGACAAGGACTGTGTCCTGGACCTGCCAGAGGGGCCCAGCCACCACGTCCTAATCAAACTCAGTTGCCATCCCTTCATCTTTGATTTCTGAACAGAGACAACATACCTAAATATGAGAGCTTATATTTTTACTATTATTTCCAATATTATGTTTATTTTTCCATATGGGAAATCTTGTCTTCACTGGTCCCAATCTTGTTTTAAGTGCCAGATATCACTCAGATATGGGTCTCTCTGTTTCTGTAGTCCTTTGTTTTTGAGGACAGAAAGTAGAAATTATGAGTAAAATGAGAGAAGCAATTTGCGAATCCTGGCTTTCTTTTTCTTTTTTTTTTTTTTTTCTAAATACATCCAAAAGTCATTATGTTAATGCAGAGTAATTTGGCAATTGCTGATAATGTGTGAACCTCTTCCCTAAATCAAGTCGAAATGCCAAGCTAAAGGAGATCAGACAGAATAAAAAGGGAAAGAAGGAAAATAAATGGAGTGAGTTTTATTTCAGAAAGATTTTACAGAAGCAGAATGGTTAGTGCCAAGTTCGAATTTATTATTTTACTTTATGTGTGTATTTTTTCATTACACAAAAGGATTTTGATGTTCCGATTTACTTGAAAGCTTTTTTATCTCCTTTGGCTTGTATTTAAACCTTAAAAAGGACATTAATGTACTTCAACGGAATAAGGAGAATTTGTGTGTGTGAGATATGAATCTTTCAATAGGGAATTTACAGAAGATTTTTCAGGTAACTTATCCAAATATAAATTTTCTTTAGTTGCTAAAGAATCCATGTGCGTCATGAACAATGTATTTTGTTGCTTAAACTGCACTGTTCCGAGTAAAGTGCTTTTCATTTATAATTCCACAAAGCTGAAAATCTTTCATGTCTGTTACATTGATAACAAATGCCTCTTTTATCCCCATTTGTGCAATATTTAACTGAACAGCTGAGCAAACGAACGAACGAGTTTAGTTTTCATTCAAAAGTTTCAATTAATCGATGCTTTCTAATAAAAGGTCTGTTAAACCCTCTGCAGTGGCAAGTCCACTTGCTTACCATCCACTGACCCATATCAAATTCTCTAAGGATAAACAAGTTGAAAGCTACACAAGTGCAAAAGCTTAATAAGGACTTTATTAAAGTACATAACCAAAAGTAGGATGTGTGAGACCAATATCAGATATTTAGACAGAATAAAGTTCAGGCAAAATTGACTTGCACACTTTGTAACCAAATTATGCAACTTTTACTCTCAAGATTAAAATCCATCCAAGAAACTGGACCTAAAAGGTGTAACAGTTGATTAAATAAGGGATATTCCAGGGTGTAAAAAGTCTCTTGCTCATTTCAGTTTCGGGTTCTGCAAACGTGACTAACTTCTTTGTAAAGAAGTGAATAGTGTGGTGCAGTCAACAAGATTACTCTTGGAATTAAGACTTGTTCTTATGAATAAAATTTCACAGGAATCAAGTTTTCACCTTGGTAGGGTTAAAAGGTGTTGCTTATTTCAGTGTTATCACCCTTAATATATAGTATCTATGAATATAACCATTATTATTTTCATATTTCCTGGTAGGTTCTTTAAATGTAATTTTAATATTAAGTATAGAAAGTAATTTCAAGATGTGAAATTAGTGACAAAGTAATCACAATGAAACTGTAATATTAATGGAAAATTATATGTCTACAATCAGTATAGCAATCAAAGATGCATGCAGGTATGTACATGCATTTTAATTCATTTGCAGCTAGAAATTATTTCAGTGCAAAAGACAACAAGAGTTTTATCACTAGGGAGTTTATTGTTTAATTTCAGGGTTGTGAAAATAACATTGTAATAGAATTTTTATGCTTATAGCTCATTTTATATTTTAACTCTTATTTTTCCCTAGGAACCCACTGTTATTTCAGCAATGAAGATTTCCACAAAGCAGGTACTATGTGCACAAATGTTAAATCACTTTCAAATATTTATTGGTCTCTGTCTTTTAGAGACAGGAACTTGGCAGTCAGCAGAGACATATTAATTGCAGCAGCAGCATCCCATCCCTTTACATAAACAGCAGTAGTTTCTCAGGAAAATGTGACGTGCAACGGAGAAAGGAAAAGTCTAGTTGGCGTTACTGGTAAGGTGGAAACTAAACACAAACTAACCAGGTGTCTGGTGGCTCTCTGAGAAAAAAAAACAAATAAATTCTGTGTTATAGAAAGTTTTCATGACAGAGAAACTGTTGAAAAGGTCCCTTGCTGTAATGGGACTAGTTCTAGTTTCTGTAGGAATAGTAAGGTACAAAATGCAGATGGCAGAAGCAAAGGATGGATATGAGACATCCTTCTGTCTTTTCTGTCCTATGCCCATTCCATTCCTGGATGTGCGTCATTCAGCTTTCACAAAGAATTTAGATCTGTTTCAGTCCAAATTTTCCATGGCCTTCTGGTTCAGTGATGTGGTTAGGATATGGGTTCCAGACTCCAGAATTTATATTTCCTACTCTCTGTTGAATACACTAATAGCTAACTGCTTATAGAAAAGATACGTATTATAAGACCAGGCCATAACTAAAATGAACTGAACTTCTTGACGGATAGAGGTGGTTTTGTCTTACAGTAAAGGTGATTCCTGCGTTTCTAAGCAAACGCAGGGAATTATTATTAGGGCTCTTTGTGAAGCAGTTGATGAATTATGTAGTCGTGCAAGTAACATTGGTTTGCAGTTCAGGAATGAAGTGGGTATTAAAGGCCTATCTTCAGTTTTGCCTGGAATTCAGTGGATGGATCCCAGCCACTGTCGTTTCCTGTTTCAGGACTCTGAGGCATAAAACTTAGTGTCAAATTTAACTCTTTTTTTTTTCTTCTTTTTCGCATTTGTGCTTATTTGGAGTCTAAATTAGTAAATATAAGTAACTTGTTCACACTCATTGACTTTTCTGTTAATGCCATTGTCAGTAAAGAGGAGGTTTGGTATTACTTCGGGACTAGGTGACTGAAAATTGAGCATGTTATAAATAAGATTTAGTTAATTCTATTTCACTCTATACATTAGTAAACAGAAGTTAAATTAATTCTGTAATGGACAGAGCCCAGTATTACGTTTCGAATTATGCATATTTAACTCTGAATTCACTGTATTTAGATAAGTTGTCTGAAAGCATTCATGTGTTTGACAAAAGATTTGGGGTGAGGATGCTTTTCTGTGATAGTTTACCACCTAAACCAACAAAAATGACAGGACCAAAAAAAAGGTACTTTTGAATACTGGGATATTTAAAAACAAACCTGTCAAGTTGTATATATGTTCACATCATAGCAAAATGCTCTGCTTTGGATTATTTTCATAAGGGCATTCCCTTAAAGCAACCAATCATATGTGAAAATTTACCATGCATTTTCATACAGTTTCTTCTTCAAAGAATCTTTAGTTATTCAGGAGAGATTACAATTTTCCCTGAGTCTTCTGAAAACAAACTTACACTGCTAAAATGGTTTAAAGCTAAAAAAGAGCATACAACACAAGTTATTCAGGCAGAGTAAAACTCATGAAAAATCAACCAGCCTCAGGCTAAAAATGACAGAATCATGATACAGGGTGACAAACTTTTGGCAGTATGTATGAAATAAGTATATGGCAACATGTTTCCATTTTACGTTTATGATTTAAAAATCCTTTAGCTCTATAACTCAAACACTTCACTCATTGTGCTCTGATAAGCAGGGCAGTTTTTGTATAAACAGCACAATAATTTTATGCATTGTAGAAAGCAGGAGAATTAAATATAAACAGTAAAACCAGCATGTTTTATCAAATGCCTTAAAAGCAATTACTTCATTTTGGTTTTTCACTAACAAAACTTTCATCCAATTAAAAACATGGTACTGGAAGCTTCTCCCTATTTTTGTAATGTTTTTACTACTGTGGTTATTCAAAGCTACCTCTTTTCCCATCATGCCAGTATGATATGTTACAGATTACTCTTCTAAAGACCAAAATCTACAGATTCTTCAGGAGCAGAACTTAGCTTAAGTCTCAAATTATGTAAAGCTGTAAGGCTCCAGTGTCTCTCTCTCTGAGTATGTATTCAACCCTTGAGCATGTGTTTCTTTGGGCAAGGAAATTTAACCTTCATATGCAAGACTAAGCCTTGATAGTTTTTTGCCACTTTGCTGTCATTAACTCAAAGGAATTGCATCTATATTTTCTCACTGAAGCTACATATTCCTTTCAACTGTGTTCAGAGCCCTAGGTTTGTTTAACCCTATCACTTACACAGTGTATGCATGGTTAGCAATAGACACAAACCATTGGAAGGATGGCATTCTTAAGCCACTGCAACACCCTACAGCTGTCTAAGGTCCCAGTTATGTGGGACACCCTATCTACCACCTACCTGAGCCTGCCAAGTGGAGCTCCATAATTTTTTCCTTGATTTGTAAATGTGGGACCAGGGCAAAAAGTCAGGCCTGGCTTTCAATCAAAAGTGATGTTTTGTGGAGAAAGCTCTCATCTTTTTCTCAGGTTCAGGTTTGTGATGCTCTTGTTTCAAAAAGCAATTGGATTTCTGGTGAAATGGGAAAAGGACAAGGAGATCCCTAGCTGATAAAGGCCAAGTCCTTGTCTGGTGAACTGCTATGAAGAGTTTTTGTTTTTCCTCTGTAAGATTTTCAGTAAAGTGAAGGCAGAGACCTTCAGAAATACCTTAGTGACTATTTTTGTAGCATATTTCACAAAATACTGAATTTTTTTCAAATATCACCATTTCTGTCCATACTGGGAATACAGAAAAGACCAGCTCAGAATAGATATATCACTTAAACAGCCTCCTGAACTATTCTGCAATCACTTTCCAAGACATAAAATTAAATTAAATGGGATTTGAGCCTCATACTCCCTAAAGTTCCTTTTAAAATTCTGCTTAAGTTCTTCTTTTTAAGCATTACATTTTTTTCATTTCTCTCTCTCTTTCTCTTTTTAATTCCAAATGGAGAATTCTGCTTTTTTGGGCAGCACTGTGGTGCAAACAGAAAACACTGGATTGCTTAAAAAGTTAGTCTCTTCAGTTTTTCTTGAGTTCTAATACTTCTGCAAGAACTTTTAGAGGACAACCTTTTTTTTTTTTTTTTTTTTTTTTTTTTTTTTTTTTTTTTTTTTTTTTTTTTTTTTTTTTTTTTTTTTTTTTTTTTTTTTTTTTTTTTTTTAACCCTCTCTGATTTGATTTGATAATCAGCTCATTGATTAAATTAACATCTTGGGAGAGACTCTGCCCAAAAGGCAGTTTGACTGGGTATGGCAAAGTAAGGTCAGACCATTGATGCAAATAATTCTGTTACTATTTTCTGATTTTCTTACTGCCTGGATTTATACATTGTTAGTGTTCAGAATAATGATCACCAGCTGGAGTCTAAAACCAGGATCAGAAGAGCAGCAAACAGGGCAGCAGCTTCAGGCTGTGCAGCACCTGAAACACATGCTGCAGTTCACTGACTGAACTTATCTAAAAGGAAAAGAGTCTTTAAGTAACCCTATTTTGGTCTCAGTTTTGTTTTGTTTTGTTTTGTTTTGTTTTCTTACATGTTTCTGCTCATTCTTTAATTCTAAAGACATTTGTTAGAAATCATGGAGGAAGGTTTTTTACCAAATGAAATTGGTTACAGAGGTACATGGGAAACCATTACACCGTTCTTTATTTTCCCACGTGCATTCTCTGGGTTGATTTTTATATTAGTTGCACCACACGTTCCTACACGCTTATACAGATATTAATGCCCCAATTACACAGGACTCAGATCAATACCATCTGGACATTTAAGATACTTAACTGAAGCTCTAATTTGACCTATGCTGCCTTCATAATCAGTAAAGAGAAGAGGCATCCCTTGAGAAGCAGTTAGGTCACCTAAGATTTGAATTGCTGCTCTTTTTACTGCAGGACATACCCCTGAGGTGGATACTTGATTAAGTGACTTGAATTAGAGAGAAATAGCTTATCATGTCTGTTGCTTGTTATCTCTTCTCAAGGCTACAACACTAACTGGGACTGGTATGTGCAGTAAAGGCTTTGTGTAGAGCTCTCTGAGATCAGAGATTTTTGCCTGGAGAATGTGGGTTTACAACCCAGCTATGAAACTATAATAGATGGAAACAGCTGCTTAGAAAGGGTTTAGTTTTCAATTTACCAGTAAATTTTCCTGTGGGTGATTTCCTTGTCATATTTTCCTTGAGAAAATACTGGTGTTTGTATAAATGCATGGGATGTTTCTGTTACAATTAATATGTCTGTATAAACTGCCAAGCTGCTGTCTCTGAAAGAAGTTAACGCAACACCTTTTATGAGTGTTTTTGGTGTTGCTGTCTCCTGGTATCCAGCGCTCATAATTTCTAGTGGGTAGGTGACCTCAGCCATATTCCATCCCTGAATTCCCTGAAAATGGTTCTTCTGGAACATCACAATGCAGGAGATGAAGAATTTTGAAAACATTTCTTGAAATCCTATTTTTCAATTTATATTTTCCAAGAAAGAAAAATTAATACAAATTTGTATTTTCTTGGCGGGACTGTTTGGAGTGGGACCTTCAAAAGAAAGGTGTTCATTGCTCCAGCGTGGGTGCTGGGTGACAAAGTTTAAGCTTTGAATAGAAAAATGTCAGTGTTTCCAAAATGGAAAGATTGTGCCATTGAATTTTGTTTATCTATGTGCTTTGTTTTCCCCTAGTTTTGAATCTCACCCATACTTACTTTCTTGGTGAATTAGTGCTAATCTGAAATATCTCTGTTTGGACTTTCACATGGGATCAGAAGTTCAGTTTTTCTCATATCCCTCTGGGGACCAACTTCCCTAGTGGACCACATGAATTTGATATCAGAGAGGAAATTGAGAGAGACAAGATATTCTGTTGTGCTGCCATGTGAGGCTGTAATTCATTTTGTATGCATGTTTTTTTATTTACTTCTGCATTTGAACTCCATCTTCTACTCAACACAGGTTTTTATCCAAAATACAATAAAGCCTTTCCCCTCATTAAAGGTAGATTCCAGTTAGAGTATGTGACCTACAGAAAAGAGTACAAAAAGCTAGAATTATCAGACATGCAAAGACATGCAGGCATGACAGCACTTCCAAACTGAAATATCTTAGCATCAGTCTGAAGTAATTTACTTCAGGTTTCCCCCTCACATACATAAATCAAGGTCATACTTAGGAAATTTATGTTGGAAGTTTTGCTTTTTGTTTATATTCAAAAGTATATTCTCCATTGTGTTCTGTCACTGACTGTGGTGCTTTCCCATTGGGGTTTGAATACAAAAGAAAAAACTGAAGAGTACTTTAAATTTTTTACTGTTTAGAGAAGTTACCAAGAGCTTCATGCAAAAATAAAGTTTTTCCTATTTGACTTTTTTTTTACCCTGGGGACAATTCTGTTCTCATTCCTCTAGTGCACATGAGGATCACGATCCTTTATTGTATTTGTAATGGCCCTAACATATGATTATATAACTTTTTTATGCTTTCCTAGAAAAAGAAAATTGTAGTTTGCAATTTTTTTTTTTTTTTAACTTTTATAACAGCAACAGCTCTACATTGGCTCAGCCACTGGAGTTTCACAGCTTCCTTTGCACCGCTGTGATGTGTATGGAAAAGCATGTGCTGAGTGCTGCCTTGCAAGAGACCCTTACTGTGCCTGGGATGGTTCATCTTGTTCACGTTACTTCCCCACTGCTAAGAGGTAGGGACAGTTTTGAATGGTTTGCTACTTGTTTTAACTGATGGTCTCAATATGACCAGAGGGCTTTGGAGATTTTTCATGGGATGGTTACCTGGAGCCCTCACTCCTCCAAAGAAAACATTGTTGGGGGAGTTACATGCAATATGAAGTCTTGGTCGATTTAAAGTGACCAGTGCTACTTCTTGAACTGGCTTAAAAAGCTCCTGTAAGAAAACATTCATAGAAGAGTTCTCTCTTGAATGGATTCATAACTTTATGTTTATTTATAAACAGCAAAAAGAAAAAAAATAATTTTCTCCATCTTTTCTCTATCTTTTGATCTTGAAATCAAAATAGAATCTCTACTTGCCCAAGTAAATTATTCTGCATTTTCATGAATTCTGATTCAAAAGAAATATCCATAAAGTGCTTGGACAACAGTAGAAACCTTTTTGGTGATATATATTATTGTTATTATTCAAAAGCATAACTTGCATGTGTGGATGTGTGTCCAAGTGCTACCAGATGAGCTAAACCACTTTTACACTCAGTCTGCAGTGACACTCAAGGCTTTGCAATGCAAACATTAGGGGAAAACTGACTCCACAAGTCAAAAATACTGATTTTATAAAAAAATGTACAAGTCTGGTTGCCTGATATGAAGGTTTAAAATAATATTTTCTTTTCTTGCCTTATCTCTGAAACTCTTTCTCTAAAAGTACACAAGCTTGTTACTGAAGAGCTTGTCCACTGAAGTAGAAGTTAGGTATAACTGAATAGATAATCACTTGAAAATAGAAGCAGACATTAATTTAGTGTTGAGATTCCCATGATAAATTGGCTAAAATGATTAAAAACATGCTCACATTAAATTGAGACATCTTTTATTTAGGAAGAAACAAGGAATCCAAAGGTTTAAATATGTAAGGGTTAATGTAGTTAAAATTAATGGTAGCAACTAAGCTGAAAATGTCAGGACTCCAAATTCCAGGTTTAGATTGGCTGTTGAGGCAGATGAAATGTGGTAAAGGGTGGGAAGTTGAGTTTGTGTCATAGACTTTTCTGATGGAATGGATTAAAGTTTATAGGTTTGCATTACAATATTACAATACATCCTTAAATAAAAAAAAAAAAAAAGGAAAAAACACAAAAATAAAAGCTGCTTGTGGAACATCGGGTTCTATCTTTTGCACCAGGAAACAGAGCTGATTTGAGACAAACTTTTTGTGAAGTTCCTTGAAAATAATTGAAAAGGAGAAATGGACCTCATCCTAAAAGAAGACCCAGTCAAATTTTCTCAGCTGCGTGGACTAAATTCTTATTTCTGTTGGTATCTCAGCAACTTCTCTGGAGAAGGATTGAAGGGAGAGGGAACAGTGAGGTTTTCAAGGAGAGTCTAAGAATTTGATTTGATCTGAAAGTTTTTAGGATTAGAAATCAATATGTTTGAGTACTGCCTCTGAGTTGAAGGAGATAGTAAGGTCAGGAATCACTGAATAACTCTTTTCTGCTACTCTCCTACTCTTCTTTATCCCTGAACCTCATTTGTTCTCAGCATTCACTAGCACCCATTCCTATTCCCAGCCCATCTGAAGATCCATAGAGCACATAAAGTGTCATTCATCTGCTTACACTGATGGAAGAAATAAGAGTTCTTTGTCTTTTCCATATCTATCTCTGCAGATTGAGCTCACTGTTGCCATCATGGGTAAAGGGACTGGGACTTCTTCTTACAGATATTACAGGGCAGGGTTACTGAGGCTAAACTGGGTTGCACAGCTACAGAAAAAAACCTTGGGGTACAGAATTTACTCTTCTTCAGGCCACTGTGAAAGAAAAAGTTAGTCCTGGGAAGCTGGAATCTGAAAAATACATTCAGAAAAAGATGCTGTCTCCACCACTTCCCCCCAGTTTTCTCTTGGCAACAACAGTGGCAGAGCCAAGGTCTGTGTTCCTGGGGGGAGAGGATGCTCTGTTTACCTGGTGCCTGCTGTACCCACTATCTCAAGCCAGCTTGGAATGCATCTATGATCAAATCAGAATTGCTGGGAACAGCTTAAATGTCAACATTTTCCTAATAATAAATTCTTGTAATTTCAGGCTCCAGAAATATTGGGAAAACTGAGTCCTGAGGCAATCGTACAGATGCTTTAGTAGTAGTTGCTTTTGGGGTTTTTATTTTGTTTTGATTTGATTTTTCTTCTGTTTTTTTTTTTTTTTTACAAGATTTTATAAGCCTCGATTTTAATTTGCTTTTCTTTCTTTGTGTATTTTACAAGTATAAATGACAGTCCAGAGCTCCTGTTGTGTGACCACTTCACTTTACCCCATGCAGATATGTTCTGGTTCATATTTCGTAAATCATCGTGTTGATACAATTGTGATATGTGCAACATTTTCCTGAGATTCTAACTAAACGTCTCATCTAAACTTCATTGACAGTAATATGAGTCTTTCCACAGACTTTTTTCCTACAAATAGTATCCTATAAATATGCCATGTTTCCAAATTTAGGAAGGAGTAGCAAAATTTTGCGATTCCTTATGTTCTTGGGTGTGGTTTTGTCGGTGGTGATGACTAATATATAGATATTGGAAATTATGAGTAGTACATTTTTTTAATCATGTATCAATCAGCAGAAGATTCCTTCTTACTAAAGTGTGCTAAGATGTTCTAATTCACGAGTTTAAAGAAGTTTTTATTCAGAAAAATAAAAAAAATTGGCCATCTCAATTTATAAGAAATATTCAGATGAGAAAAAAAAACCTGTTGCTATACTTCATGTAACTAAGTTCAGGTTTAACATTCCAATAGTTTTCAGTGGAAAAAATATGGTTAAAATCTTTCAGGCAAGAGGAATCAGCTAAGCAGTTGTGCCTTAGTGAGAACTCTTGGCATGTGCTGATGCTGGGCTGTTAGTGAGAGCCTGCAAATAGGGCTGATGGAGAGAAGAGAGATGATCTGCACCGCAGAACAATGGCTTTTAAAAATGTGGGCTGTTGTCACAGGGGAGTGACCAACAGGGCTTTTTACAAGGCTACTTGACTTTTGCATATCCGTTGCTGGATACCATAATCTGAAATCGCAGCATTGTTCAGCAGCCTAATCCTCTTTGTTCTCTTCTAATTTTGCAAGCCCTCAGGCTTTCTCCGATTCCTAAAGTGAAGTGCTCACACTTGAAACACATCTTTGTTTGCCTTGTTCTTTTTTTCCTTCTTTTTATATGAAAGCTTTTCTCTGGCTCGGTTGAATTTTGTGTCACAGCTATTTAAATAAAAATCGGAGCAGACAAAGAGAGAACAACATGGGCAAAATAAAACCATATAAAACTCTTTTCTGAAATACAATATTTATTTTTTTTTTAGTACAGATCAATATTTTTTTCAAAAGAACCAGTAGAATTCAAACTAGGAAAAGAATATACTGTGTATACATGCAATTAAAGGTAGAACTCAGACTCAAGCTACAAAAAAATGGAATAAACAGCATTTCAAAATCTTTCTTTTCAAGTGTCTTATTCTGTTTATTCTAAAGACAAAGCCACTTGCTACAGTTAAGTAAAAGGTTTTTTCCAGAAATGTTTTGGTGAAATCTGTAGTGGCTGAAATGATCTATGTATTTTAATTTATATTTTGTAGAAAATACTGCACTTCAGCATTCTTTGAAAGCCACCCATCCTAACATTTCATCTGTCTAAAAGATGCCACAATACTCAAAGTATTCTGTACTTGCAGAAAAGCTGTAGTTTCTTCATGGGTTTTGATGTATTTTAATCCCTCAGCAGTCAAATAATGTCAAGTAATGTGTCAAGTAATGAATTTGTCTGTGATCCGTGTTGCCCACACAGTGAAAAGAAACATAGTATTTTATGTAGTATATCTTTATTATTAATAATTAATTTCGAATAATTTTTTTATTTAGTATCTCAGTGCAAGAGATATGTATTTACCAGTTTCTCGAGACTTGACCTGTAATTATAAAGCCTGAATCCACAAACTGTGACAGTGCACAGAATACAGTAGTAACAATGTGATTTCCTTCCTAGTGTAGTTTAGATGCCCTTGTGACTTCTGTAATTATATATGTTCCATTCATTGCTCTTCAGTCATGGTAAATGTGTGTTCTGACCACTGAGAAGGTCACTAACAGATTTCTAACATGATATTTGCAGACGTACTAGACGGCAAGACATCCGAAACGGAGACCCGCTTACCCACTGCTCAGACCTGCAGCATCACGGTGAGTTATGGGCACAACTGAAGTGCAGCTAATTTGTATGTATTTTACAGACTGTGCACGAGTAAAGTAGGAAGCATGTGAATGATTTGTTGGTGAAATTGCCTCGAACATCTGTGAAAGATGAAAATAATGCATCATTATCCCAATTTAGATAGCTTACAATTGCCTTGATCAGACATTACAGACTATTTGAGGGTTTTTTTTTTGTTTTGTTTTCCTCAAGTTAACAGTTTTAAGCATTTTAATTTTCCTGCTTCTCTTACCTGATAATACTATACCATCAAGTTAGGCATATTATATCAGAGAGGACTTGTAACTCCTTCAGGATAGCAAGAAGTACATGCACATTGTTTTATATAGTTTGCAGAAGATGATAAGCAAACGTGTTTGTAACTATCTTGCCAAATATGGAATGACCCTTGTTGTAGGTGCCACACTAAAAGATGTAAAGATCAGGATGTTCCTTGCAATAGGCCTGTCCCATATGCTTTCAGCATGGGTTTTCTTGGACATATTTTGATTTGGTTTTTTGTCAGCTATTTCATTTTCACAGTGTATTGATCAGATTGCTTTCTGGACTTGTTTGACTGATAAACTTCTCACAGTTACTAATTTGTTGCCAAACTTTTCAGAAGACCTTCACTCAGAAAATTAAAAATGTCCATTTTGCTGTAAGTGGAGGGAACATTTAGGCAATACTTCCCTCTGCTGGAAAAAAGTGGATCTTTATGATTGTAGCAGGTCTATACACACACAGAGTATTCTGAGTTGAAAGGGACCCCCAAGGATCATCGAGTCCGGATCGTGAGTGGCCCATATGGGGATCAAACCCACAACCTTGTTGTTATTAACACTATGCTGTAACCGAGTTAATCCAAGGCTTAAACCACTAGACAGATCTCTGGGATAAGGAGGTGACTGAAAATGGCAATATCTCAAAATCCTCATGTCCTTCCAGTCCATATAATAACAAAAATGATAAATAGTTCAAAGTTGTACTTTGTGTCAGCTATAATTCACCATCAATATGTTTCACTAATAGTTTTATCTATCTTCCTTTCAGTCATTTGAAACTCACAGCTAACATTACTATAGCTTTTCTTTTTACTTCTTGATTAACAGACTCAGGCCAAGTTACTCAGAGGGCAAAAGGGTTTGTAAAAATGCATGAATGGATTGTGATCAGGATGTAGTTGTCACATTTTGAGAACTCACAAATGTACAATTAGTTTAGATTTGAACTAGTCAATCGGCACTAGAAGAAAGTTCAAAAATTTCTTGTTGCATCAAAAGAAGTGATGCATATACAGTGTAGATACTGAGGCTGAGATGACATTTCCCAATAGGAAAATTTCACCAGGCACTAAATGTTGATTTTAATACCAGCAGAAGCATGTCTTAACTTTACCTTTTTACTTTCTGGACATGTTACTCATGAGTAAAAATATGGCCTGGGCTACCACATGTTTGTTCATTTTAATGTTTTCTAGCTGTTGCCTGCTGTGCTTTATACAACTGTAAGTTTGTTCTTTATTTTCATAGGTGAAAAAAGCATTTCAAAACCCTTTGGTTTTTTTTATATCTTCCCATATTTGGTAAGCATATTTATCTGATAAAGATATGTTCTGTCCAAAGGGAAGAGAGTAATACAGTTTTGCATTAATCCAGAAATGCATTTTTTTCATTGCAACAATCATGGCACCCCTGATCACAAGGATCTTTGATACAGCTTTGTCAAAATAAGAAAAGCAAGTATCAGTAAGTTACAAAAAATACTGAGGGAATGAAATTCTGGATCTTAGACCTGAAGGATGCACTGTTAAAATGCTTAATGAATGATTTAGACTGGTCTTGAGTTAAATTTTCTCTAAATTAATAGAGTTGTAAATCTGTTACATTTTCCTACATTTACGTGTCATTTACACGTAGTCATGTGTTGTACAGGTGACTGCATGGCCTGTAAACTTCCTGTGCCAACTTATGCTGAGGTTTTTCCTTGTTTGTGACCAGAACTTTTCTGGACATTCTTCATCTGGACAGATGAAGAATTGGGTTCACCTATAACCAAAAATAAGCTCCAGCAATCTTTTGCTACTTGTCTACACATTCACTTGCAGTAACTGCCAGTTGATTCTCCATGTGAGCCAACAAATACATAAAAAAAGAAAAATCTCACTTTTAAAGGTATTGCAGAAACCAACTTTGTGATCAGTCTGAAGAACTAATGTTTTTAATAAGGCTTACATAAGACTATCCATTGCCCTTTGGTGCAAATGTATAAGAACTAATATAAAATGACTGCACAACAACATTAGAGGGAGCTGAGGATCCTTAGCTGTACAGGTGTTTGCCCAGACATTAATGCTTAAATCTAAAAGCATGGACACCTTTGTGTCAGCTAAAGAAATTTTTTTTTTTAAGCATAACACTCCAGTGCCATCAAGAAATTAATCAAGTATTTTTTTACTTTTCTTTTTTTTTTTTTTTTTTTTTTTTAAGAATTTGTAATAGAAGAGGCACCTTTTTGAGCTGATTTATCCCAGGGAACATTTAAAGAATCACTGAGTTAAACTGTATAGTGAGATTGATTCATCTGCAAAGCAGTCTTGGTATAAGTACTTGGCCTTTCATACTTCTTTGGTTATGTCAGAAATTATGTACTTAAAGGACATTTATCAGGGTAGTAAACTGATACTGCTCTTGGGTTCATTTTGGGAATTACTGCTCTCAGACAGGATTGTGGGCTGAATTTCATAACCAACTTCACGACTTCTATGCTTTTCTAATTCCTCCACCTGCTTTTCTGGACTTCCTAGACTTTCATTCTTCTTTCTAGTCTCTTCAGCTTCTCCCTCAGTCCCAAAGCTGCACTCCGATCCTGTGATTGCTTACTTTATTGCACTCCACATACTCAGTATTACATGGACTTTATAGACATTTTTGGATGTGCCTTCTGCTCTGTTAAATCATGGAAATGGAAATTGAAGGATCTCCTAATTGCTTCCTCTCTCATCTGCCACCCATACTTTATTTTCTGCACCTGTGAAGAAATTTAAAGAGGACTTCACTCCCTTTCCATGGTGTTCTCTAACACACTAGAATGTCATAGATCAGATCCAAGAAAACAGAAGTTTGAAGTGGTGTCAGAGCACCCAGTTTCAAAAATACCCTTCTTGCTTCTTAGATACTAAAGATATCCTAGCTACCTAAGTTTTCCAGCAGAAACTTCCCTATATACTTAAAAATACACCACTCCTCTTGGGCAGGGGGACCTTTGCCAAAGAAATACCTGGTTTTGTCCTTTCTACTGACATTTAGAATCTAGGCAGTTATCTTCCTTGGATTTAATGAGACGAGTGTTACATATGCTCTGGTCCTGTGTAATTTACTTGAACTAAGCTGTGTTCAGGAAAGTATAGTCAGTGGTACTGCAAGCCCCCTAATGTGTAACCTGCTAGTTAAATCCACTGTTTAGGATGTGGAAGATGAGGACGTAAAGTCCATTTAGGCTTAGGAAATTGACTTGATAGTTGTACTTCCAATACAAACAGCCAAAAATGTTGGATTTCTCTTGTTTAAGTTGGGCCATTCTGCAACCACGATTCATGGAGCCTGGGAGAGGAATTGAAACAGAGTGTGCATCCTAGGGTGAAATCCCTGTGTTTCCATCCTTTATTCTGCCTGTAAATCACTGTTTCACAGAAACAAATCGCTGGAGCAGTAACAGAAGTGTTCCAGGCTATAAAATGGGAAATTTCCTACTTACTGTTTTATGCTGCAGCCCTGTACATGTATCTGTTGTGGATTCCAATTCAGATATCAAACAACTTCTCTCTGACTGTGTGAGAATCCTTGGCTGCCTGCTCAGCCCTGTGAATTCTGTTCCTTAAGCAGAGGAACTGAACCAAAAGAGTCAGTACATCATTCACAGTGTTGAATCTGGACCCATAAGTTATCAGCCAGTCAGTCCCATTTCCAATCTTTATCTTAGCACTTCTAATTATATTCAGTTAATCTCTTCTCATACTTCCAGTTCCCCTGCTTCACTGACACCAATTCACCTGTGCTCCATCTCAGAGCTTATCACCAGTACACTTGGCTACATTCTCTTCCAGCTGTCTCACTTTTCTCTTGCTGCTTTGCTTTCTAATTATTTCTTCCATTGCTCCCTATCTTCCTGACTCAGAGCTGCACTGACATTCTTCGTGGGAATGTGGTTTCTGAAAGATGTCATAAACATTGTTTCACTTAGTTTTTTATAGAACACCCCACTTACTTGCTTAAAAGGTCCACAATCCAGCAGAGGAAGGCAAGCAAACCCATTTCCTATTTGTTTAGTGTTAATAGGCTATTTGTTGTTTTCTTGTGGAAAATTGGGCAAGCATCAGTTCCTATTCTGCCTCACATCCCTTCGCCCATCCTCTTTCAGGACTGCAAGTCATTATTGAAAGGAATATGAGTCTGCATCAACATAAACCAGGAGCTCAATTTTAATTTTACCTTTGGTTCAGTCATCTGGTAAACAGCCTGTGTTCTGTAAACAACATTAGCAATATGATAGAGGCACAGTTGGGAGCAAACAAAACTGGACAAAGGATTTCTCTCAAAGGGTTTTAAAGAGACATAATTTTCCTGTTAAAACATATCAAAACTGATTCCTTGAAGATTTCCAGTGCTAAAGTTCAAAAGTGGAAAATGGAAAGAATGGCAAAGAATGGCAAAAAAGTCAGGAAACCCCATGAGATCCACGCAATGTTAAATAGCCTACCAAGCCCTTCCTCCTCACTTACTCTTCAGGATTGTTGATCAGTGGCCACTTAATTCCATAACAGCATTTTAAATATTTAGCTAAAGTGGAGAGCTGAAACTTACAGTCTCTGTGGTATTGGAGAAGAATCAAATACCATATAAATCCTATAGCTATGTGATATTTCCAGCAAGTTGATGAATATCTTGAAACATTGTTGTTACAAAAGGAAGTAATTTATTTAACTTTCTTTTTCCCCTCCCATAATGTCTGGTTTATTAACCTCATTACATTTCCATAAATTATATCAGTATGAGAGGAAATGATTAATTGAAGATTGTTTCCTCAAAAACATTATTTCTGGTCATTAACAGCTTCAGCAAACTGCAGTTCCATGTAATCTAAACACATTATACTACTTTTAAATAGCCTCATGTTTTATTACTTTACTCTAAAGTATAATGACCATAGAGCCCAGGAGGCATCATTACAAACATTCTGCAACTACACCCTGAATTTTCTCATCGCATACAGTTTGCTATTAAAAATTCTTGTCGTGTCCTAGATGTTTTCCTTGATGAATAATAATGAGGTTTACAGAAAATTTCACAATTAAATTCATTAACTTCCCATATTGAGATGTTAGCAGCTGTTAGGATTTAAAATACAATTAAAAAAAAAAATGAACAAAACCAGTAAAAACCAAAAACCTACCAGGAATCCTTACAAAGACAGAGGTGTTGATGGAAATTTTCCAAATAGCGTACTGATATGGGGAAATTTTCTTTTAAGTGTTTATCTTTAAACACTTTAAGGGAGCCCAATTTTATAAACAACAACAACAAAAAATTACTCAGCATTCAAGTGGGGATTTTTTCAGTAATTTTAATTTGTTTCTTTTCTTTTTCTTTTTTTTTTTTTCCCATGTTGTACAGATAACCCAAGTGGTCACACCCTGGAGGAAAAGATTATCTATGGAGTAGAGAACAGCAGCACGTTTCTTGAGTGCAGTCCAAAATCTCAGCGTGCTGTAGTCTACTGGCAATTCCAGAAGCAAAATGATGACCGCAAAGAAGAGGTACACTAAAAAAAAAGAGAAGAGATGCAACTAATTTTCTTTATAAACTTCAATCTGAGTCCTTCCCAGAACTATTTTAGTTTAGCAGAATTCCTCTATACTCTTATAACTGCCATTGTTCTTCACCGTATTATCGCTCTTATTACCATTAAGTCCTGTAATCTCTCAATAGGTTTTACAGATTGTTACAGCAGAAAACATTCATATCCTCTCCTTGCTCAGACTCCCTGAGCAAGTTTGTTTTGCAGTAGAGATCCCAGAAATACGAGAAGTTTGCATTCTATCTTTTCACCTAAAACATGAAACAAGGATTATATGAACTTGAATATCACAAAGACCTTAAAATTGCAGTTTACCTGCACTCATCTAATTATACTGTTTGACTGAAGCATAGTCTATCAGGAGCATCCTATGTACTGCATGCTCCAAGACTTTTTTGCACATAAGGCAGAGACAGAATGAAGAACTGAGAACTGTAGTGGACGCAAGAGTATGAAAACTTGTACATTTTTTTCAAAAAAGCAATATTCTTAGAGGCAAAAATACTGACCTTCCCTGTTTGCTTTACTCTAAGTTGATACTTTATTTATCTCCTTCTCTTGTCACCAACATTCTTATGTTATTAATCACCCAGGTTTTCAAGTCCTGTTACTATCAAACTAGGTCACTCATATCTTAAGAGAAGAATCTGCTCTGGTAGCTAGGGAGGTCAATCTAGGAAACAAAAACTTGGGTTTTGCATGGAAGTATTGTTAAATACATGTATATTTAAAGCATGTTCTAAATAGTTACATTAGCACCTTTAAATATTTTTCTTTTGTTTGCATAAGTAGTAAATTATTAAGAATTTATTCTTGGTGAAGAGAACAGCAAACAGGTTTGTGGCCTTTCTGTCTGCATCCATATGTGCATTCAGAAAACAGAGTTACATCCCATGAATGAATTCAGAAAAAAATACTGTATTTTGAAAAGCTGCTTTTTGAATATTAACATTTTCAGATTTAACCCTTGATTGTAAATTTTCCACTTATGCAGAATCCACTTCTATGCATAAGGGGTTTCGTATTAAGGAACAATAGGAAGACAGAGAACCTTTCCTTTAATTGGATTTAGGTTTGACTAAAAGGTAATGATAAATGTGACCTCGGTAATACATCCAAATACATCCATGCTGACTCTGCTGGTTACAGGCAAGGATCTTCTGTAACCTTACCAGGAAGTCCAGCTGACAGATTTGATACAGATCTTTGTTCAGCAGCAGCAAGGACTAAGGAGTAAATTCCTAATTCCCCAAAGTCTTTGCAGGACATTGGTTTTTCCATAGTATTTGAGCCTTTCATAATTACAGATGAATGGCAAAGGGTTTTCCATTTTTGTGGGTTTGGGATTTTTCGGCCAAGTTTTGCCATTGAAAGGAGCAGTACTAAGGAGTTAGTATGGTTAGGAGATAATGTGGCACATATGTGAAAGACAACCATTGAAATTACCACTTTTTTCCAATACAGATAAAAGTGGGTGACCATATGATCCGGACAGAACAGGGCCTATTGCTACGAAGTCTTCACCGGAGAGACTCTGGTGTGTATTTCTGCCATGCTGTGGAGCATGGCTTCATGCAAACTCTGCTCAAAGTGACCCTTGAAGTGATCGATACTGACCACCTGGAAGAGCTGCTCCATAAAGAAGAAGATGGCGATGCTTCCAAGATCAAGGATGCTACCAACAGCATGACCCCCAGTCAAAAGATCTGGTACAGAGACTTCATGCAGTTAATCAACCACCCCAATCTCAACACAATGGATGAGTTCTGCGAGCAGGTTTGGAAAAGAGACCGCAAACAGCGCCGGCAAAGGCCTGCCAACGCGCAGGTGAACACAAATAAGTGGAAGCACCTACAGGAGAATAAAAAAGGTAGAAACAGGAGGACCCATGAATTTGAGAGGGCACCACGGAGTGTCTGAGCTTCATTACCTCTAGGAACCTCATCCAAGTAGAAACTTGTATAGACAGATAACTGGAAAAAAATGCAATATTCATGAACTTTTTCATGGCATTATGTGGATGTTTACAAGCGTGGAAAGTTCAAACGATTTCCACTAGGTTTAAATAAAATCCATTTCTAACTTTCCTAGCAATTCCTTCCTCTCTGCTCTGATTCTAAGACCAGAAAGACCAGAGTTTCAAGGATGATAACTCACCCGGACCTAACTTACTGCTCTAAAAATTCTACAAGTATTCAACAGGCAAGTTTTGCTTTCTCTTTTGCCGGAGATATAAACAAAATTTCATGCTGTCATCTTATAGAAAAGAAAATCAACCCTCACCTTTCATCATCAGCACTACCATTTCTAGACTTATATATAAAACTGCATGAACTCATTAAGCTGATGAACGTCTAAACACGTGATTGGACACAAGGATTTTGTTCTTGTTTTGTCTACCAGTTCTCCTGTTTATATGTGCTAGAAGAGGAAAAACAATACTGAATGAGATTAATTGTGGAAATCTGAACAACATAAGCCATCCATCATCTGAAAGAAAAAAAATGTGGAGTACACTGGCCTACTACTGATGACTTCTTTCCGCTTTGATCTAAAGATGTATTTTATTAAAACTATAATTTAAATGTACCATGAAAAATATGCAGCAAACATTAGCTCATTTCTAAAATAGATTAGGCTTTTTGTCTTAGAAATATTGTGCTTCCTAATTATTGGTTTAGAGGAAAAAAAGACAACTTCCAATTATGAGCTGCTTTACTGTTTTGTTTGGAAAAACTTCCAGGGGAGCTAGTCACACTGCAGTTAACCTCCTCCCCTCTCAGTAATCTATATGACATGTACTTCAAAGAAATTTTAAAACTAAGCTATTTTAACATGAAAGTCACTTCATGTATAGCATGGAAGTATTCTACATTCTGTTCTTCTAAGTATGGTATTTGAAATTATTCAACTTGTCTAACACCTTGCTATAGATTGAACCAATGAAGAGGAGAGCATTGATTTTCAGTTGTATATTTTTTTTTATTAAAAAAAATACAAATAGCATTAAAATACCCTCTACTAATTACACTCTTGCTTTCTTGGTTCGTATTTGTGAATGCTAATATTTAAATACTGTGGCTCATAAACTGTCATACATCCATGAGCAAAGCTCTTATTCAGTTTAAGGAGTTGTGTTCCCAGCTCTGTGGTAGAAATATGTCCACACTACTGATTCTCAGTGCTCCATTCTTTCTGTGGGCCAGATCACCCAAATGCGAAGAACCAGCACTAGACCACATAAACAGTAACCTCAAAGCCCCATTTTAAGATCTGAGGGACAGTTTTATCTGTGGGTGAAATCTGCTGCAGTAGTCAATTGGTGAAGTTCAGCTTAAGACTAGTTTATACTAACAGATAATTTGGTCCTGCACTTCTGTCTTATTCTATATACAGGAGAGCAACAGGGTAAAACAGACAATGTACTTGCACCATAAGTGTCAGTTTAGGGTTATAAGTAGTGGATTTATTCACCTCAGCACAGATGTGCCTTTGGTCCCCAGTTCTATGGTGTCCAGTTCTTTTGAGATCATCTTTCTCCAGCCTCCCATATCTAATCTTGGTAGGGTCTGTAAATGACATAATTTCAAGTAATGTCATTGTGGGGAAAATTACTAGAACAAAATCCTTAGTTTGCTAAAGGAGCTTTTATATAAAAGTGTGTCTGCACTGATGACTGATCTGTTTTGTTGTTATTCACATGAGGTTATTTAATTTATCTATCTCTACACTATCAGTGAGGCTTATGTGATACAATATAACACAACTGCTGTGACAGCTTCTCTCACAATATGCCTAAGTCTCCTTGCCTCTCACTGATTCAAGTATCGCTCTGCTTAGTGAAGTCTTGACTTCTCACCTCCATAGCAATTGGATTTTCACAAACAGCCCAGTTACTTTAGTCCCCTTTGAATCCTTTGTGAGGATGAACTGGCAAGATTTTTTGTCATTTAATTCTTTAGCAAAAAAATCATTGAATAGACCAGGACAAGGCTGTAGGGCCATGATTTAAGAAAGCACTTAGGAATTTAGTTTTAAAGCAGTTTTAAGTCTCTCTTATGTTTAACCTAATATGTTGTTAAATTCTCATTCTTTCATGATGTGCTGAATAGGGATGGATTAAAACATATGTTCAGCTATGTGCTTTTATGTACAGTAGTATTCATTTTTCAGCTCAGTTTATGATTAATTTCTGAGCATTATTGTCAACTGAATTATTTAATCACAGAACACTCTTTAGCCTTCTATGTATGGATGGCTATTTTGTACCATCTAGTTACTAAAATCCTCTTACAAAACGAAACAGTTTTAAAATGAACCTCAGAGAATTCAGTGGGAAAAATACAAATCAATTTCAATAGATCCTAAACTACTTTGTTTCTTTTTTTACATATTAATGGAATTGCTATGTAACTTTTTTCTCTACCATGCTCATAGCAACTGGTTCTATAGCAACTTGGTACAAAAAAATCAAACCAAAACCAACCTCTTTCGCAATGCCTGAAGAAGAAACAAATTAAGACAGAATTCTAAAATGTTTTTCTGTGCTGAGAAAGATAATGTGTGGGAAGAAAGTACAGAAATCGCAATGCTTTTGTCATAACCTGGCACTCTCATTGGACAGTTGATATGATCAGATTTTACAAACTTCAATCCAATCCTCACTGACATGAGTAGTTTTGTTTAAGACTTTTGTGTTTGCTTGTATAAAGAAGAGGTCAGAAGATCAAGCCAGCAGTGGAAATTTTTGATTTTCAGGTTCATATTATGGTCAAGTTATAACAGTATTTACCATCAATGTGAAATGAACTTTGTTTTAAAAAACATAGGCCTTGATGAATTAATGTATAGAAAGATGCCCTGCAGCTTCGGTAAAATTCATATCCCCATTTGTGTCATTATTATTTAAAGCACCATAAGGTTTGAAAATAAAGATTAAAATAGTATTTCTGTAAATTGTCAATAAAACCCTCTAAGCGTCTAGTTACAGACTTTAGAAAAAGTAAGTAAAAAGTTGTGTTTAAGCTGGAGACAAATAAAGGATTTCATTTATAACCAGAAAAATCTATTTTGTTTTGCTGTAAGATATCCATCTGCAAGGAACAAAAATACATTGAATCTTATTCTTACGCATCTACACTTTGCACTTGCACGGATCACTGAAATGGGAATTTGTTAAATGGCTCCTAAAAACTGTATGGTTATGTTAAGCTATAACATCAAACTGAGAAAATGTGCATCTTTGCAGAACAAAGTTAAATCTTCATGACCCAATAAAGTCACTATGTAAAAAAAACAAAATTAAATTAAATGCATGTGAATGCGCATTTACTGTTCCTTTTTATGTATTATTTAGTGAATATCAATGGTATGTGTTTAATAGTTCAGTTTTTGCTACCTACACATTAGTCAAAAGAGATGTAAATATTTTTGACTAGATAAGGAGGTACAGTGTAAAGTACTGTTATCTAGAGGTACTCCATTTCGGTGTGTTCAGCAAAATACTAAAATGCAAGATTTTGCCACACAGGTGATAAGGTGGTTTATTTGCTATATCAGTGTCTAAGTTTTGCGCTTATTCTTTAAACGCATTCCTCACTGGGTAGTAAATAATTCTGCTTCTGTATTTATCACTTCAATTCATATGGGAACTAGAAAACTGGAGAGAAAAAAAAATGTAATGAAACTGCTGCTGTAAATTATTTCTTTTAGCATGTATTCAGTTGTTAAATAAACATTTCTTCCAAATATTTGAAGTTTGATGTCTTGACTGTTTACACTGAAATGTGCTCTGTAACCTTCGTGAACATGTGGAGTGCATTGTTGCCAATATAATGCTATCAATGTATGTGAGCTCTTGTGTATAAGGCCAGAAGGATTGCTATTTTTATTAATGGCAGAGTTTGCTTCTTTTTTGAAGACTACAAACTAATAATGGCCGAAATGAAGGGTATGAACTTATCTTCAGCCTGTCTTTTGGCACAGCTGCTGGGCTTTTGTGCAGATAAAACCACACCTACACACACCCGCACCCTCCACTCTGCCCATGAACCAAACTGCAAATCAGCCTGGCAGCCATGTGAATGTGAGCAAGTTGCTGTACAATTTTCATTCTGTGCAATGCTAATGGCTTAGGACAGCTATGCTGCTTCCTTTTGGAACTGGCTTGCACAGACAGCAAGTAGAATAAATCAGGTTCTCTCTGTTACCAACATACCCTTGTATCCTTAGGTAAACTTAGCAGCTGTTTGACAGTGCTTAGGGGCTCTATCTAAAAATAATATGCCAAGGCACTAAGCATTGTGCAAACAGCTAATAAGATAAATGCTGTCCTGAACAGCATGAAGTTTAAATACACAGACAAGAAGTGGAGAAAAGAAAGTATCCTTATTTCCATTTGGCAAATACAGAATTGGAGAAACCTCCAGCAGTACTTAATCATCACTAATCCATTCAGCTTCACTCATGTTCCTTCCTCTAAAGCAAGGATACAGGGGTTCAGTTGAAAAAGATGTTATAAGGATATTTTATTTTTACTAATGTCTTCTGAAAATGAAAATAATCCCTCAGCAGCAGCCAAGAAACTCAGTAGGTTACAAAAGATACCTGCAAATAAAACAAGGACAAAAGGAATATGACAAGCCATGAATCTGCTAACTGAATAAAACAGTAATTTTGTTTTTCTGTGTCCAGTGAATGGGTTATAAATACCCACAGAGGAAGATCCTTGTTTCTGGATTACACCAGGCTGTGTCCCTTGCTAGAATTCCCTGCAGAGCACAGCTAAACTGAGTGTCCTCTGTTACTACTCTGTACATTGCCACTAGTGTACAATGCCTAGGGACGACCTTCATTGACATTGACTGGGAAGAAAGAAGAAACATTTGGGATTTAATGCCTATTTGTTCTCACATATATATGCATAGATAGATAGATATACACATACACTGAAACAGTCAACTTTCACTGAGGTGAAATCCTCTTTCCTCTGAAGTATTTGAGGCTCTATGTGTAATTCTAGTACATCTCTGAATATGTTTGACGGCTTCAGCTATAAATTGTTATAAATATTTCCTCTGTAAAGACTGAAACACACTATTCTGTTTCCTTACAGGTCACATTCACGGAGCTCCCAATCAAACATCCATTTAATAGGAGGAAAAGTTATGATTTTTTTTCTAAAGCATAAAACAAAAGGACTATTCTCCCTAGAATGCTGAGTAACAGGATACAAGTAGATCAGAGTATTAGTGACCCAACCAGCTTCTTTGCTCCCCATAAATTCTCATGTGAAAGGCTGGAGGAGCTTCATAGAAAAACTGGAAGCTGCAGAGAACAGGCCTTATTTGGGACCTTTTTGTCCTGGAATTTATCAAAGGTTGACATTTTGGAGAACTTCAGGATGATCTCAGCTAAATCACAAAGCTCTGGTGAAGCAATATCCAAACTGAAACAGTTTCCCTTAGGTGAAGAGAGCAAACTCCCTTTCTTGCTTAGCAGTTTTTCACTCCTTCAGGAAATGAGTTTCTTCTTGCCTCAGTATTACATAAAGGTCATTATATGGTCTCTATAGTCCTTGCTGAAGGCTAATATCTTCTTCAACACGCATGGGGATCCCCATTTCTGATGACCAGCCCTCCCTGAGCTGCTTTGTGTTCCAGGCACTCCAGTCAGACTAGTATGCAGTCTACTCTTGCCACATCTGCTAGTACTAAATCTAAAAATGTCCTGTTCTTATCCACAGGTATAAAATTAGGATTTGGTGGGCAGTAAAAAGCATGTCTTCATTGAACTATGAGGTATAATGCAAGAAGATGTTTGTCAGGGAGTCACAAGGGATGACAAATTCCTGATCCAGGGGTAGTTTGGGGTCCCTGGGGTGTCAGGGCAGGACCTGGCAGCCAGAGCCTGGCCCCCACATCCAGGACAGGGGGTAGCTGGGGCAGCTCCAGCGCCAGGGTTCAAGCATATCCCTGGAGATGGGGACTGAGCATCAGCCCACATGTGGACCTGGCTTGGTGTGTCCCA